GGAGGGGGAAGAGCGGACAGTATTTGGCCGGATCCGCTTTGCTCTTTTCCAGCGCTCTTAGCAGCAGCTCGCTCCCAGACCAGTCACTCCAGAGCTCCGTTTTCTCTGCAAACACTGAAGAGGTTTCCCAAACACACTTGAAAAGTTATTATTTTGCACAGTTGTAGGAAAGGGACAACAATCAATATATCTCTGCCTTTATCTATTTCATTATAGCTAAACTCTTTATACAGCATGATGCCAGCAAATACACATTTATCAGAGTGGGATATGAAGAAAGCAATTTGTGTTGGCAGAGACAAAAACACAAAAAACAGAGGATCTTGCAAGCTAACAACTTGGGGATGGAAAGACCAGCCCAGCCAAAAGTTCACAAAAATATGTGTCTACATATCATGTCACAGACAAGGAAAGGTACGATGGTATGATGATCCCACATCTGTTATTTGAACCTTGATGCGTTCACACCTCCATTCTACACCCTACAGTCTTAGAACTCAAGGGAAAGGAAGTTATCTTCTGGTGTGAGTTTGTGCCAAAATAAGTCAGATGATGCAACACACACTGAGAGGGTAATGATTTTGTAGGAATGGTGTAGGTACACCATGATACACAGTGATGAGACTGTCCATACAATTATTTGGGTTTAAGATCAAGGGCTTGGCTTCAGTAGGTTGAGCCAACGGTTGTCACAGAGAGATAGAAATAAATGTGGGGCAGAGTGCATCATTTGCCACAAGAGATACGCAGTGGGTCTATGCCGATTTCAATCAATCTCGCAATCTTGTGAAGTAACACATCTATCAAGGGGAGTGGAGTCTCACTTAGACTGAGCCCTGATTCTGTTCCTGCAGCCAAATATCTTATAGGATCATAAATCTAGATCTCTATTGTCCATTTAGTTCTTAGCAATTTAAACTGTTTTGGTGTAATGGAGTCTGGACAGGAATAGGAAACTGATGACAGGATGCCAGGATGGATGTGCTCGATACAGAGACATATGTCATGGTGTATGTATGTGTGTCTGTGTGTGTGTGTGTCCAGACAATCTCAGCAACTTCTATTCTCAAAGCCTTGATGGCCATGCCTGGGGAGAGTGATGATAAATGGTCGCCTTCCTGTAATTTACCTTCAGGAGGATGGATGGAGCTGGCCTGTTTGGTTAGAGGGTGGGGAGACGAGGAGAGAGGAGACTGTAGGTGAGAGAGAGAGGAGGGGGAGAGGGAAAAAGAGAAAGAGAGTAAGGAGTTTCCTGCCTTGGACCTGACTCGGGAGTTGGGTTTCCTCAGAGGTGAGGTACACATTCAAGTGTGTGTGTGTGTGCCTCACTGTTTATTTACAGAGCTTTAGCTCTTGCTCTGTTCATAGAGGAGGGGAGCCGCGCTGCTCAGTACTCTCCCCTTTCAAACCCCAGTCTAGCCCCTGTGAGTGGAAACACACCAGAGGCCCACTGTATGTAAGCATACTTTCCAATGGGAAACACACACATATCAATTTGATATTATTTCTGCAGCTCAAACTAATTATGGTAATTAAAGAGACAGATGATCAACACACAGCTCATTAACTAATAATTTATTTTTTATCATTTAAGATTAAAAAGTCAGTGGTTCATTGCCTCAGAGGAAAATGTACAGGGAAGACTTTGATATAACATAAGTGAAGAGCAGGACTCAACTAAGGGAAGAATCCCTTTGTTCCCCAAGGAAGGTAGGTAGGCAATTCTTGTGTGAGTGAAGCATTATTCCCAGGACATTAATGTAACAGAAAGCAGTGGGTTGTTGTGTGTCAGTTCCCGTCTGTACCTCAATGGGAAAAGCAGAGGGCCCGATCAGCCTGTGTCACATTTTTACTTAATTCTCCTCAAAGTCATTTACAATTGGGCGGTTGTTGTCGTCTGGAAACAACATAAAACCAAAAGAAATACATTCTGTGTAATATCTGAACCACATCTTCTGGTCGTGATCACTAAAGCATATGTTTCTGGTTTCTACATCCATATAACATCATCTGGTTTGTACATCCATACACGTGAGTCATCCCAGCCCAAGTGACGCTTTACAAAAGACAACATAAATGGCAGAGGCAGTTCAGTACATATTTACAACATTAAAAATGTGTCAAGACTTATTAAACAAGGCAATATGGAAGCGAAACAAGAAGAAAATGGGAATCAGACCAGGGAAATAAAAACGATAATTATTCATCATAGGCTGTTCAGACTCCTCAACACAAACATTACAACTGTGAAAAAACTGAGAAGCTTTGTCGCCCCGAAAAGTCTGCCTTCAAATGAGAGCTCTCTCACCTCTCTGCACTTTCAATTTAGGTGCATATCAATTGTTTGCTCGGGTAGGGTTAATTACACAGACACACACACACCCACCAACAGTCACACACACACACACACCTGTGAATCCTATAAATCCTGCAACGGGGGGAAACAAAGCAAAGCAGTTATGGCCTCAGTTAAACTGCCAAGCTGCTGGGCTTGTTAAGGTAAAACAACAGGATGGCTCTCTCTATGAGGCTCACTAAATGGATTTCACAAGACTGCGTGTCCACCCCCCAGACAACATCTGGCTCACTCTTACTTTTTTATCTTTATTCCAACATTCAGGGTGGGCACTTAAGAAACGTGAAAGATAGTCCAGATTCAAGGACACTGTCGTTCCTACACGAGTGTGTCGGACGCTTAAGGAGTTGAGCACCAAGGAGGCCTCACAGGCACGTAATTTGGCCATCTATCATAATGTGTCACACCATACTCACATACCAGGGCGAGGAGGCTGGTGCTACTGTAACACCACCTGTCTGACAGGCCACTGCAGACAGCCAACACACAAATAATTGACTGATTGGTTCTGCATTTTTGTAAATTTTGAAATTCCATCAGTGGGGATTGTAGCTTGGGCTGTCAAAACTCTTGTCACACACCAGAAATCATGGTGGGCGATAACTCATTTTGGTTTCGGGTTGTTTTTGGATTCGATAATTAAAATGTCAGACAGATGCACAGCATGAAGATCCACAATCATTTGAACGACGTCTAACCCTGGTCATAGATTACAATGGCATCAACTGTCATGGCATCCACATTCTTAAGCTTGGTGACATTATTTTAATAAAAACTTACAATCAGACCATACACCTGTGTAAGTGTGTTCTTCACAGTTTGACATACATTCTCGGAAGACGTGAAAACAAGAACTACAGTGCAGCACAGTACACCACTGGGGAGTTTTGGTTGCCTCGTTCTGTGCTGTCACTTACCTAAAACACTGAATACACGACATGCAAAAATGGGTTAAAAGCGGGGTTTAGGGAGGGTGGTGGCTGACACAGAGAAGAGAGCAGAGGAGAGACACTTTTGGAAGAATGACAAACCAAACATACCACTGTAGCCAGAGGAGCGTAACCACTAGCTAGCATGACATGCCGGTCGGCACACTCACTGCTACGCTAAGCTTGACGTGCCCCTCAAAACTGTGTGTTTATCTTGTACTCTATTTAAATAAATTGTAATGTGCTTTACAAAATGAAATAACAGCAAAAGGCAGATAAAAAGCTTGAGAGCAACCAGAAGGGTCTCTCTGTGGTTTTCGTTGGTCCTGACTTCCATAGTTTCTTAATTGAATTTAAAAACTGACTATGCTTATTTGGCAAAGGATGACAGGGACTGTGTAAGGGTAGGCAAGTGGGGGAAGATGACTTGGGAAGTTTTCCTTTGGATTTTGATGCTCATATTGGTTTAGGTCTTGCTCTGCTCACTGTAAGGTTTTGATAGACCAGCAAAAACCACAAACATGCAAACATAACAAAGCACATGAGGAATGAAATATGATCCTCTCATGTCATAATACAATCAGTGAGCACTAAAAACTTTCCAGCCTCATTCATTTTGTCAAAATATGCTAGAGAAAAACACGACTATGTTGTTTATCCGACTTTGTTTTCTTTATACTGCATGAAAAGGAACTCTCGTTTCAATCTCTTATTTTGGCAAACAAAAGCCTGCCAGTCACTAGACACATCAGGAAAATTTTCAGACATTTAAATACAAAGCAATGACATTGGCCACACAGAAACATCTGGAAGGCCACTACCCAGCGGAAGACATTATCCATAAAGCAAAAAGTCTCCTTGGAAATATTGGTATTGTTCTGAAATTCCAGCCATTTGTCCACACCGCTTAATCTGTCTTCCAGAAAAAGTGACAAGCAATGAGTCATGATGGTGATGCATGACTTTATAAACCACGCATGAGAGGGACCAGTGGTGAAGAGGCACAGCCCCGAAGGCCTGGAATGTGACTCACACATGCTAACAGGGTTTCTTCTGCTTAAAACGAAACAAAAGGATAAAATCTAAAACAAGGATATGGCTGGGATATGGATGGATGAGATAAAACGTAGCCACACAAAGAATATAAACTCCTACTATGAGCAGTGGCATCAAATACTTGCACAAATAACAGCCTACATGAGCAGTTTATTCTGTGAGGGCTGTCTGGTGGCAGCAGCAGTGGTGGTGAGACTGAGGTTTGCTGTGGAAAATGTCCCTGCAAAAGGGAGCCCTTGGTTCCTCACGGGACAAGAGTTTTATAGTTACAGTCTGTAGAAGTTACTGCAGAGACCTGGAGCAAGTAGGCCCATTTTTTTAATTAACATTTTAACAGCAAGTGTTGAAAGGTTGTCAGGTGGTACAGCTCATGCTGATCCATGTTGAGTTTGTTTCAACAGTGAAACGTGAGGAGGCCAAGCTGAGGATGTGCAGCTTGTCTTGTTGCTGAAATCAGTCAGTCTCTCTGGAGTGACAAACACTGTTGAATAAAATCCTCAGAGAAGTATGTGAAGTGTGAGCACTGGTGTTCTTATATGTCAAACAAAGTGAC